TTTTATTGAATAGACAATACATATATGATAAATAAGCCCAACTGGTAGTGTCATATTTGTTCCGTAATGAATGCGAGGACCTGAAAAACATATGAAGGGAACAAAAATGAATAAAGTAGACAATCGTATTAGTCTGCACGCTTCTCTCCCACAGAAAAATTACGAATTGCAAGTTTAATTTTGCTCTACCATGACAAATTTTGTGTCTGATTTTGTGGAGATTCAAGATGATTCAAAGGATTCTCCAGTGCAATCAAATTATTCATATTTAAACCATCGTTTAGACAACCAGTATGATAAGGGGAAAAAGATCAGAAGAGCATAATTTAAAGAAACAGGAAAAAGGAAGGAAAAGAAGATTTGATCATGTTGACCCATAATTTTTGGGCGAAAAAAAATCGATAAAAAAGTCGTGTTGGAAGTTAGAAAAAAGAGGAAAGAGAAAAGGTTAAGACCACGAATAAAAAATATTTTTAGGAGATCATTTGACATGACAATCGGTATAGGCGGAAATTATTGAATATCATATTTAGTCAGAAGGCCAAAAAGCTCGGTGGAGAATTTCTTGAATTCGTCCTTGTTGGTTTTCTTGAGCGTTTCCAGTCCATTGATCACCATGGAGCCTGTAAAACATAGAAAAATTAATGATGGCCTAGAACCCCCCCCCCCCCTCCCAAAAGCATGGCCTAGGACTCCAAAACCGTGGCCTAGAATCCGGAAACTATGACCTAGGATCCGAAAACCATGACCTAGAACACCCAAACCATGGCCTAGAGCCCTCAAACCATGGCCTAGAACACCCAAGCCATGGCCTAGAATCCCAAAAACCATGCTCCTAGAATCCCAATACCATGGTCTAGAATCCCAATACCATGACCTAGAATTCCAAAACCATGACCTAGAATCCCAAAACCATGACATAGAATCCCGAAAGCATGACCTAGAATCTCGAAACCATGGCCTAGAATCTCAAAAACATTGCCTAGAATCTCCAAAAACTCACCTATGAGAATACTATGATTGCGGCCTCCTCGCTGACTCTCTCCTTGGTCTTCTTGATCTTCTGAGCCAAATCGGATTTTGGCACATCCTCCGATTCTCCATCATCCGAATCCTCAAAGTCCTCTTCCACGTCTTCTGGCTTCTCGTACTTCACATAACCGCCTCCTCCCATCTTCACCTCCATCTTCACCGCTGGCTGCTCTCGGAGCATCTTCTGAATGTCCAGCGACGTTGGAGGAGAACGTCTTGGCGATAAAGCTGGCGAGTCGTCGAGATCGATATATCTCGGAATTTCCTGCCCTGGACGTCCGCCGTTATAAGTGACCAGTGGAGTCTGCCTCTTGATGGTTGGCGGCACAGCGGCTCGATTTCCAATGAGAGAATCCCGTTTTCGACTGTCGAGTAGAAGACGTGCGGGGCCGAGAGACGTGTTGGTTCCGACGATGCCAGCGTCTGGAGGTGCCACGATGAGTTGGAGCAGGTCCGTTTCGGAGGATTCCACGATGAGCCGAGTAGTTCTGTGGATCCGGGGGGCGAGGGACGACGGCCAGACGTGGAAGGCGACCCTGGGATTCTGGAAAAATTGAGGATTGAGGTTTTAGGTCAGCCCCTGATATTCGGCGGAGCGGCCGATGGTGTATCACGAGGTGCAGGGGCCAAAATATCACTAGGTGTCAATCACATAAGGTTCTTACGTCCAGAGTTTTGAGTTTTAGAATGAGCCCAAACATGACTAGCCTTACATGAGTCCGATTTCCAGTTAAAGATGGGGGGACATGAAAAAAAATAATGTTCTCGAAATTCCGTTCAAAGATGCCCCTCGAAGAGTTGAACTTGTGAGGGCGATGATTGAGGGTGCGGAAAAACTACGAAAAATCTCCTGTACCCCCACCTTTAAAACGTGCTTTTCCTTGAAATTCATTAGACAAGTTGAGTTATTTTGAGAATTTAAAGTTGTACTTTTCTTCTTGATCATGTTCGATGAGTAATCTGAAGTTTGACGTGTTTACAGTTCCCTGGAGCATTTATTTTTTTTCTCGATCGTTTTCTAGATACTTTTATTATGAAAAAACTCTTTTACCTAATACCAAGATACTTAACAATTTTTGTACCCTCCAAGTTTCTTTCCCAAATGCTCTCAAGGTGTTCAATTCTTTGGGATAATGACTAACCAAAACCTTTGGGGTCATATATGTGTGGGAGTAGAAGCTACAATTAATACGCCAATGCCTGAAAAAGCAAAAGCGTAAACAATCAAAGACGTTGATGATGTGGGAAAATTAGTTGATTTTTTGAGAAGCTGAAACACATGAATACATCTCCAAGTACTAGTTCCGACTTGTATGGTGTGGGAGAATGGAAATCGGGTGATTTTGTGACGTGATTAGCCTGAGATAAAATTTATTTATGGAACCTGGATAGTGTGACGTAGAGAAAATAAAGATTGCACTTTTAGAGCACCAATTAGTGATAAGGAAGTTTTTCTGAATTAATTCTTGGAAAATAGGGTGTGTAGTTTGATTTTTTTCATCAGAAAACATCAATTATCCATATCACAAACGACAAAGTTGATGACGACTTTACATAAATGTTGGTTTCCAGCAAATTCTCAGAAAACTTCCGGAATAATTGTAGTTTCTTCTCAAAACACATAAGAAAACAAGGGTTTCATTTATTCATAATTAGATGCTTCAAACTTGCTTAGAGTTTAAATTATCATTATTTCACATTTGTATACTTATTAAGAGTAGAAAAAAGAATCGGGGTTCAAATTATTAAAATATCATTGTTGGGAAATACAATGAAAGTGGGATGTAGAGGAGGTACGAAGGGATAAACAGAATAGTAAGATCGAAGAAAAATTAGGGGCTTATGTTTGCTTTTTTAGCAAGCATATTCATAATGACGTCCTCGTTCTCGTGAAGAATGTCATACAACTCTTCGACTCTTGCTGGGACGAATCCAAGCTTCTTTCCGTTGGTGAGATACTCGATGTAGTCCGATTCGTAGCTCTAGAAAATGAAAAATTGAAAACAAATTACGCTTTTAAAGGTGGGGGACATGAAAAAAAATAATGTTCTCGAAATTCCGTTCAAAGATGCCCCTCGAGGAGTTGAACTTGTGAAGGCGAGGATTGAGGGTGCGGCGCCGCTACCGACTGAGCCACGCGGGCAAAGAGAAAGCGGACGCCCGATTGCATACATAAAGGCGAGGACGACAGCTGTACGCAGAGTGACATTAAGCGTTGTACATCGTGACGGTAGAATGCATACTCTAGCTACTAAAAAACTACGGAAAATCTCCTGTCCCCCCACCTTTAAGTAAACCTACATCCAGTTCTGCAATGTTGAGAGCGAAGACCTGCTTGAAGATGTCCTGGAAGTTGGAGACGATGCGTTTCTCGTTGATCGGGTAGATGTGACACTCCTCCAGACAAGCTCCTTCGGTGCAACAGAAGGTGTTCTAAAATCGTTGATTCGATAATCAGATGAGTATCTGATTGTGAGACTTACCCTGAAAACAATAAAAAGAGTTCTGTTAGCGGAATATCGGAACTCTTGAGGAGCCCGACTTCTTCGGCTTTGAGGACTGCGAACCGGTTAAAGATTCGTTGTGGTCCGATTTTGACGAGGCAACCTGTAAAATTATGAAAATCATTGGCTAATTGAAAAAAAACGAACTCACGTTCGGCTGGACAGAAGTACTTGGCGTCGTTACACGACAGTTGGACAAGCTGGAGGACTTGCTCATCAGTCAATGAGGTTTGACGGTGAGCGGAACTGAATTGAAACACAGCGACCAAGGCCAAAACTTTCAGAAGGATGGACATGATTGAGGAGGGTTTAAAACTCAATTTATGAGGATAAGATAGGAAACAGAGTCTTTTGTACTATAGTATAGTTATGACGAGCAACTTGTAAGCATTAGGATAAACCACGCCCCATTTTGCCTCTTTTCTTTTTGTTCCTCTCTTCCACTCTCTCTATCTTTCTAAAAGGGGCGAGGCTTCGAGGTTTTGCTGCCAGTTTTCAAGGAAACGTACTAATTAATTCAATGGGGAATAGTATGACATAATTGGTGACAATATTCGAGAAAAAATTTTTTGTCCAAAATAGCGTCTTTCAGAAAGGGTTTAATATGAAAAAGTTAATCATCAAATACGTCATTCGATAGCGTGAAGATCAGTAGAAAAATTTAAAAAAAAAGTGTGGGTGTCAAAGATTCAAATACTTTGTATGGTACAAAAATTTTGGAGTCATTGGAGGGTACAAAGCAAATTAACGGTACGAAATTCGTGATTCGCGTCCCTAAATCACTTTTAACCCCTTTGTACCTCCGAACTGTTGTCCCATCCGAATTATGTGCCTGTTTATCAAAATTTCATGAATTTCAAATACTTCTGCAAGAGAACGTACTCTTCCCAGTTCCATTTCTTTTGCTCTATGTTCATGAGATTCCATTTTCCCAAACAGATCAAACAATTATTCCCACACTATCACACTCTTTGTTTATTTCCAGATTTACGTTTTTCCCAGTCATTGACGTATTAATTGTAGTTTCTTCCCCCCCCCCCCCCCCCCACTCATATGATCCCAAATGTTCAATTTAGTCATAATTAGAAGCTTGAAAGTTGTTTACGGGTACTGAAGTTGTACTCTGAAAATTCAAGTACACTGTAATTTGTGTCGATTTTCTGTAAAACCTGAAATTGTGTTTGGTTTTCAAACTACATTTTTTTTTGAGTTAATTGCTTTATGATTTTTTTTCTGCTTGTTTCAAAGATTTTTGTGAAATCAACAAATTTATTGCAGGAAATATTCTAAAAGAATGATCCAAGAGAAGACATGGGAATTACGAATGAAGTCTGCAGGAGAAACAAAAAGAAATTCGAAAGAGTGGGATAATGCGATCGAAGGACAAAATTATGCAAATTGAACTGGGGGAAAAACGAATCATTAGGAGTAGAAAAAGAATCGGGGGTCAAATTGTTAAAAGATCGGGAATTCTGATGAAAGTTGGGGTGAATAGAAGGTACGAAGGGGATAAATAGTATCAGTAAGAACAAAGAACATTTTGGAGAAGATCTATGCTTTCTCAGCCAGCATGTTCATGATCTCGTCCTCGTCCTGGTGGAGGATGTCGTACAACTCTTCGATTCTTGCTGGAACGAATCCGTGCTTTTTGCCGTTGAGAAGATACTTGATGTAGTCGTCCTGGTATTCCTGGAAGAGAATAAAATGAAAAACAATCACGCTCTCAGGTAAACCTACATTCAGCTCTGCAATGTTGAGAGCAAAGACCTTTTCGTAGATATCCTGGAAGTTTGAGACGATGCGTTTTTCATTGATAGGGAATACGTTGCATTCCGCCAGACATGCTCCTTCGGTGCAGCAGAAGGTGTTCTGAAATCAGCGTTTTATAATCAGTCGAGTATTTGATTGTAAGACTTACTCTGAAAACACCGAAGAGTTCTGTTAGCGGAATATCTGAAGTTTTGAGGAGACCGACTTCTTCGGACTTCAAGACCGCAAAGCGGTTGAAGATTCTTTGCGGCCCGATTTTGACCAAGTATCCTGTAAAATTATGAAAATGATTTCGTTAATTAAAAAAATGAACTCACGTTCTGCTGGGCAGAAGTATTTGCCGTCGTTGCACGACAAGTGAACAAGCTGGAGGACTTGCTCATCAGTCAATGAGGTTTGACGATGAGCGGAAGCGAATTGAAAGACAGCGACAAAGAATACAACCTTCAGAAGGATGGACATTTTGGATTGAGGAGAAGTTTTAACTCAATTTAAGAAGATAAAATAGGAAACAGAGCTTTTTATACTAGTTATGACAAGCAACTTGTAAGCATTAGGATAAGCCACGCCCTTTTTTGCCTCTCTTCTTTACGTCTCTATATTTCTCTCTTTCTCTGTTTTTTAATGGGCGGAGCTTAGAATTTGTTGTTGCCAATTTTCAAGGAAACGTACTAATTAATTCAATGGGGAATAGTATGACATAATTGGTGACAATATACGAAAAAAATTTTCGTCCAAAATAGCGTTTTTCAGAAAGGGTTTGAAATGGAAAAGTTAATCATCAAATGTGTCAATCGATGATGTAATTGAAAAGTTTTAAAAAGTTTGGGATGACAGGGATTCTCAGAATTAGATTTTAATGTGCTGTTTATAGGGAAAATAGTTCGTAGGATACAAAAAATTTGGGGTCATTCAGCTTAAAAAATTTAGGGGTACAAAATTCTAAATTCAGGGGTACCAAACACCTGAAAAAATCGGATTTTTTATCCCCGAGATGTGGATTTTGTACCCCCAATCGTTGTACCCTTCGAAGGGTGTTCGTGTTTATTGAAATTTGAAGAATTCCAAAAGCTTCCGCAAGAAAACGTTTCCCAGGTATGTTTCTCTTCTGCTCTATGTTCATGAGATTCCATTTGCCCAAACAGATCAAACAATTATTCCCACACTATCAACATTTCTGTTTATTTCCAGATTTACGTTTTTCCCAGGCATTGACGTATTAATTGTAGTTTCTTCCCCCCACATGCATATGATCCCAAAGATTTTGTTTAGTCATAATTAGGGACTTGAAAGAAGTTATGAGGTTTAGACTGTAGAAGAAGACATCTGGTGACGGAAGTATTGGTGACGACATCTAGAGCATCTCTGGACAGACGCTTCTCTTGATGAACTTTTCTGAGCACTCCGATCGGCAGCAAACCGACGCGATGTCTACACCGGTCTCGCTGGCTGAAATGAATCAATGGT